TCTTACGCTTTGTCCGTACGTCTGTCTGTTAAATCATGAACTACAATATAGGTATACATACTTAAATGATATTTATGGACTCAGTCCTCATCTCTGCATCTCAGAAGTTCTAAATCAAGCTCTTTTACATATCTACTTCACAGGTTCTAATGTTATGGTCAAGGACCATCAAGTAACTATTTTCTTTTCTATCCATATTTTTTTTACAGGGATGTACCAATTTTAGGGTCATGGATCATAATTGTACTCCTAAGAATCGATGGATTTGATTGGTTAAACATACTTTATAAACAAAATTTAAAGAAAATCATTTGATATCCAAAATCCAGATCTCTAGACCCCTTTTGGTTTATACTGAATTAATTATCGCTAGAATTAGTTGTATCCTACATCACCTTCCATTAAATAGTAGATGACTCGATCTCAATATCTTCATCATCATTAAATGGCGATTGAAAAAAAAAATATAAAACTATATAAATGATTATCACTATATAATGCAAAGTTTACATGAAAATCATTTGTTATCAAAAATCTATATTTGTAAACCCTATTGGTTAACAATGGATTACGAACCCTTAGAGTGAGTAATTTCCTTCGTCAGTGTCTAAATCACATTCCACATTACCACTGATAACAGAGGATTGATTGTATACTGTTTAACGGTCCTCTCTTTCACTCATATGGAGACGTCACCGTTTGCCGGTGAAGGTCTTCAAATTTAGACCTGTCGGTGCTCAGGGCCATTGAGCAGTTACGGTTTTTATCGTGCCAGCGCCTACCGTGACACGGGACCTACGTTTTTAAGGTCATATCCGAAAGACCCGTGACTTTCACTTCTGATGCCGAGCGCTTGGCAAAGGAACAGCCACTACCCATTTTTATGTCTTAGGTTTGACGCGGCGCCGGGAACGAGAATCGAACACAGGCCTCCCAACCACGAAGTGAACGCTCTACCACTAGGCTACCGTGAACGGTGATAATAGTGGAAGATTCATTATCAAGATTGTCGATATCATCAAAACTTTTCATTATAAAATAACTTAATGGTAATCGTAAAACTTAACATAAATGGTAAGCATAATGCACAATTTAATGAATAATATAGTAAAATGTAATGAAAAAGTGCAAACACTCTGCTAAGTTCCTTTTCCTCGGCGTTATCCGTGTCATCATCGATAGTTGCCAGGGGACCCTGTAAATTTACATAAATAACATTAGAGCAAGTTAATATTTTATTAAAGTTGTGTTTTCTTTGATCACATCGCTGTCTAGTTTGGAGAGCTCGACTCTGTTAAAAACTTGCTACTTTTCCTTAAGTTCGTTCAGCCAGAAAATGTGGTGTCCTTTATGGTAGTAATCTCGTTTTCATACAGATTGCTGAAGAAAAAATATAAATAGTGAGCTTATAGATTGCATAAAAATAAATTAAAAATATCGATGGTGGTTTTGATATTGCTGAATTTGATTTCTACATTGTTTAACGAAAAAGAATTAGTCTGTGTTTGTGTCCGGTCGGGGTTTGGTGTGCCCCTCACTTCATTTAACTCTGTCTGAGGCTTATGTCTTATGGTACACACATATTTCTGGTGTTCATTAAAATTAGTCCTGTCCCGACCGAGTTGTAATTTTCACGTAGATGCGCCCTTCCCTAGCTGTTTAAAGTATTTATTTTTACGGCCCGCTAAGATATTAACATCGTCCATAGTCTCTGGTCTAAATATGCTTTTAGACCAGGAACCAATAATAGGCAGGTAGGAACAGGGGGCAAGGAACCTAACTTTATACTAAAGGAAATGTTAATTGAAAGTCTGGTTGTCCCCCTCCCCTCCCCCACTGTTAGAAATGTACGGAAAATGAAGTATAAAAAAGATACTGAAAGTAGTTGTTACTCATGATATATAAGAGAAGCACTAGTGAATTAGTAAGAAAATATTTCAATTGTTTGATTGCTTGTCAAATATTGCATGTGAAGTCAAACGTCTTCATCAAGTTTAGTAATTGTTAAACTCTTTCCGGGAGCATACTTCAGCTGGTCACGCAACTTTCCATCTTTATCCTGGTAAAACGCACACTCATGTGTTGAAGGTACGGGTCTTCTTTTTATTTATTTTAACAAATGCGGGCAATTTCTGGATGACGGCTGGTAAAGCAGGGGACTGCTAAATATTATTGAGTGTAAATTTCCCCTTATTAGTTTTCTCTCTCAATGGTTGCAATGACTTGAATTTTTCTTTAGTCTACAAAATTAAATATTTAAAAAAAGATTTTCCCCCTGTTTGTTGTCCATTGAAATAAAATAGGGTACAAACTCAAAATTAATAATTTTATTCATTTCTTCATTAATGAATAAAGACTAGGAAAAAAGTAAACATTTAACCTTGCTAGTAGATTCTATCATTATAGTGCTACAGATAAGCTTTTGCTATTTCTAATATGTAACAAACCACTTGTATGGTTTGACTTCCTCTTTATAAATTCCGTTTCGAAACCTCAACACACGAGTGCGCGTTTAACCATTTTCAGGTACGCTCTTTCCGATGGTGTATTTTTAATTAGATGGAAAATTAAAAGTATTATTTTTAAATATTTTTAGCTCTCTATCATGGCAACGTCATTGACAGGCCGTTATTTTGGAAAATAATCATTCATTACATACTCCCGTGGGAATAGTAAAATTCACCTCGGGGCCAAGATTCACGCTATGATAATTCATCTAATGCTTTACCAAGCTGCTCTCTATGTGTTGGAGCCTTTGCCATTGTGAAAATTTCTTTTTAATTTATAATTTTGATGCTTATTTCATAAAATTAACAAGTAAAATTTGCGTGGTCATCTCAAAATTTATAAGTAGCAGGAGAAATTGTCTCGCCTTAATGTCTCTGATCTTTACTGTACTTCGCAAAATCCTGGTCACTGGCACCAAAGTGACTTCTGAGATGAAAGCCAATGAGGACACTTTTGTTGGTTTAAAAGTTTACTAATCCAGTTGACAATTTTACTGTGATCGAATATATTTATAGTAAGCGTTTTCTTTTTAAATTTTAACCGAAAAAAACTAAAACATTGTTGATATAAATGTTCAAAGGATCCGTCCAAAATACAAAGAGCTGAAGACCGAGCTCCCAATAAATAAATAAACAAGTGTCCAATAGAATGATTCCCAAAGATGCTAATAGAGAATTAAGAATTTACGAATATCTGAGTAAGAATGGGAATAAAAACGGGATTTTGGAATGGGAATACGAACGGGAATGGGAATGCTCTTTTCTGACCAAAACAGGGTATTTTGTGCTCAGTGGGTATCCATGGTCCCGGATATAAAAATGCATTTCATTCGCTAACCCACCATCACTAACTACCTATGCTTTGTCCGTAGGTATGTCCGTTGACCTATGAACCCCAACATTGCACCACCCTCAAATGCAGGTTAATACATATACTCATTACTTATATTAATGGGGCTAGTCCCCATCTCTACATCACAGGAGTTCTAGCCCTAAGCTCTTTTACATATTTACTTCAAAGTCGCCAATTTTATTTATCTTGGTCAAATATCTTAATAAAACCATTGCATTTCCGTTTAAATTTTAAAACTTTCTATCGATGGGCTTAATTGGTCTATTTGGATCAATTTCATTACAAAATGATTTACCAAACTATAGTGCATTGGAACATCAACAAAATCTAATTTTATTTAACAAGATGATAATAGTTTACAAACTTAAAAGTCCTTTTTCCAATTATAAAGTCACCGAATTTGAGTCACTTAAAATAAAAGTTCTGATTAAATAATTTTAATATCATTTTCCTTTCACTGCTTATTATTAAAATGATTATGATATTAATATTGTTTAAGTTTAAAATGTTCGATCAATATGTCTGGGCTAAACCCTACAGGTTAACAGTGTTTTAGAGACGGAGATTGTGATATTGTTGGTCTCCCTTTCAGTGAGACTGAGGGCCTTTAAACTAAGTTTTTGCACACAGCAGCAAGTTATGTATGTGAGGCGCACACAGCAGCCCCTGACCGCACACAGCAGGTCGATAAAGTTCACAAAAGTTACCTGTGGGTGCTTACACAGAATGGCGTCTTCTTCTAATGGCTACACACGATTTATAAATTAATAATTTTTCTGTAATCACCACATTCAAAAATATCAATACTGTGAACCGCTATTCTAAAACATTTAGAGATACATGATGCAAATTATTATTAAAGCTGTTAAATAAAATATAGATTTTTTGTTTTTGGGGTATTTGCAAAATGCTAATGATAAGTCTGAATGAAAATCACGCAAGTTTTATGGATAACTGTCTTCTAGAATATACCAAAGTAGGTACGCATGTTTGTTACAAAATGGCGCAGATAAAAATGTTATGCTTTTTATGTATGGTAGTTTGTTAAATGATACTGAGGATGCATTCTTATACGAATATAGTAACTTCTTACTTCAAACAGGTGTTGTTCTCTTTCATTGGACAAAAGCTGTGTCACCACGAGTACCCGGTTATGTTGAAAATGTTATTCCTCTATTTTCTACAGACAAATTTTGGTATCATTATCGTAAAAAATAATAAGTGTTCGAGGAAATACCGTATAAGTAGAATTTTTAGCGAGGATATAGTTTTGGCATTATTAGCGAGGGTATAGAGATCGCTAAAATTGAATATCGCTTGTAATGTGTTTGAATTGGGATCGGGCTCGGGGTACTAAAAACATAGAAGAGAAGCTTCGGGAATAAATGTCGCATGTTTATCATGTTTTGACTTTTTGGGCCAAGACTAGTGAATATATTACATTGGCGACGAGGATTCGGAACGCTTGAATTCTCTTTATCGAAGAATCAGCATGACCCACATAGGAAAAGTCGGTGAGTTTAATGAAAGCACAGAAAGCTTCGCGAATTATGTGGAGAGACTTGAACAAATTTTCGCGGCAAATGAAGTTAAGGACCAAAAGAAAGTAGCTGTATTTTTGTCGGTTATTGGTCCAACGACTTATGGAGTTTTGAAAAATTTAGTGCAACCAGCCCCGCCGAAAGAAAAAGAGTACAAAGATTTAGTGCAAGTGTTGCGGGGGTATTACATGCCCAAACCGTTAGTTATTTCTGAAAGATTTAAATTCAATAAGAGAAACCAGAAGGAGGGTGAAAGTGTTTACTCGTATGTAATTGAGTTAAAGAGGCTATCTACACATTGTGAGTTTTGAGAATTTCTGCCTGAAGCACTTAGAGATAGACTGGTTTGTGGGTTACGGTCAGAAGCAATACAGAAAAAGTTGTTATCAGAGACGGAACTGGATTTCGATAAAGCGGTCAAGATTGCGTATGCCATGGAAACGGCTGAAAAAGACACATTGGCATTTTTGACTCCTGATCCAGGAATACACAGTGTGGAAACAAAATATTCAGGGAGGAAATCTGAGAACCGAAAGAAATTTCAAAGACAATATTCGGAGGAATGTTACCGATGTGGGAATAACCATAACCCGAAGGAGTGTAAATTCAAAGACAGCAAGTGTTTCAAGTGTCAGAAAATTGGCCATGTAGCAAAGAAGTGTCACATGAAAAAAAAATCAGAAAAATCAACACTGTTTGTGGCTAAGCCAGATGATGAGACATCAGATTCATCAGACAGCATTTGTTCTATTTTCTGTACCAATGAAAAAGACCATAGCAGAAGGAAGTTGACGGTGAACATAACAGTGGGAGATGAAGAGGTAGAATTTTTAATTGACACCGGGAGTGTTCGTACCATTGTAGGTGAGGCAGTTTACCAGAGACATTTAGAGCATTTCAAGCTCACAAAAACAGATACTGTACTTCGTTCATATACTGGAGATGAAATCGGGCTGCTGGGAGTGTGTCATGTTCCTGTAAAGTACCAGGATCAAGAGTTCGTTGAGCTACCATTGCTAGTTGCCCAAGGACAGCGACCAAGTTTATTGGGGAGGGACTGGCTGTCAAAAATAAAACTCAACTGGCAAGAAGTCTTTGCAGTCAGTATGAATGAAATGGAGACCCTAAGGAGAGAGTATAGTGACCTATTCTTACCAAGCACAGAACCAATAAAGGATTTTAAAGCACAGATAAGGTTGAAGGAGGACGGACATCCAATATTTTGCAAAGCACGCACAGTACCCTATGCTATTAAAGAACAAGTGGAAATGGAACTGAGAAAACTAGTTGAGCGAGGTGTTCTTCAGAAAGTAAAAAATAGCTCCTGGGCTGCACCTGTAGTAGTGGTTCCAAAGGCAGACCAGTCAGTAAGGATTTGTGGAGACTATAAGATGACAGTTAATCGGGTTATCAGTGAGGAGCAGTACCCACTGCCCAACACAGATGACATGTTTGCTAGCTTAGCAGGTGGAAAAAAAATTACAAAATTGGATCTAAGTCAAGCCTATTCTCAGCTAGAATTTGACAGAGAATCTCAAGAATGTCTAACCATTAATACTCACCTTGGACTCTTTCGATATGCACGCCTACCTTATGGAGTTAGTTCTGCAAGCGCAATATTTCAGTCAGTTATGGACCAAGTCCTATTGGGATTAGATCATGTGGTATGTCGGATTGATGACATTCTTATTACAGCGGCGGATGATACTACTCACCTGAATACGCTTCGAGAAGTATTTCGACGTTTGCGAAAGCATAACATTAAGTTGAAAGCAGAAAAGTGCGAGTTTTTTGCAGACCAAGTGGTTTATATGGGGTTCCTGCTAGATCACAATGGAGTACACCCAACAGAAGAAAAGGTTAAGGCCATAAATGATGCACCTAGACCTACTGGAGTAAAGGAGTTAAAAGCTTTTCTTGGGTTGTTGAATTACTATGGTGCTTTTCTGCCCAACTTAAGTACCGAGTTAGAGGAGAGTTTTAATGTCTGTAAAAAGATGATCACTGAGAGTAAACTTTTAGTGTTTTACGACTCCAAGAAACCTCTCCGATTATCGTGCGACTCATCTTCCTATGGAGTTGGAGCAGTAATATCGCATGTAATGAAAGATGGCTCAGAGAGACCAATAGCTTTTGCCTCCAGAACACTGAGTGAAACCGAGAGACGGTATGCTCAAATAGAAAAAGAGGCACTGTCATTAGTTTTTGGAGTAAAGAAATTCCATAAGTACTTGTTTGGACGCAAATTCACATTGGTAACAGATCACAAACCGTTGTTGTCAATTCTGGGTCCAAAAAAGGGTGTTCCCCCATTAGCTGCAGCCAGAATGCAACGTTGGGCACTGATACTGGCTGCGTATCAGTATGACATTCAGTACAAATCATCTGAACAGCATAGTAATTGTGATTCCTTATCGAGACTACCATTACATGAGACAAAACAGGAGGATACAGAAGAAGGAGTATTTTCATTGGATATGTACTTACCCATCTCCAGTCAGGAGATAGCTATGGCTACCCGAAGAGACCCGATTCTGTCTAGGGTGTATGATTTCACTCTGAACGGCTGGCCAGCTCATGTAGAGGATTCTGATTTGCAGCCTTTCTTTGATAGAAGGAATGAACTTACACTGGAAAAGGGATTGCTCTTGTGGGGGATGCGAGTGGTCATTCCGGACAAGTTTAGAGGTCGCTTGTTGCTAGAGCTGCATGATGAACATTTAGGAATGTCTCGAACAAAAGCCTTAGCCAGGGGGTATCTTTGGTGGCCTTATTTAGACAGGGACATTGAAGACATGGTTGAAAGATGTTCAGCTTGTGCATCTACTAGAAACACTCCAAAAGAAAGCCCCCTGCATCCTTGGATTTGGGCTTCTAGACCGGGGCAACGAGTGCATATAGAATAGAAGAATGCAGAATATAAGGGGCAGTCCTTTCTTGTTATTGTCGACAGTTATTCAAAATGGCTGGAAGTCATACCAGTGAAGTCCACCACAAGCAGCAATACCATAGAGAAGTTAAGAACATGGTTTGCCTCAGTTGGAATACCTGAAGAAATAGTGAGTGACAATGGGCCCCAGTTTACATCTTCTGAACTTCAAGATTTCATGAAGCACAGTGGAGTTAAACATACACTTGTACCGCCCTATCATCCTCAGTCAAATGGGTTGGCTGAAAGAGGAGTACAGATTCTAAAAAAAGCATTAAAGAGGCAAGATTTTGATGGTCATAGATGGTCTCTTCAGCAGCGCCTTGCCAACTTTTTGTTAAGGTATCGCATAACACCACATAGCACTACTGGTACATCACCTGCAGAACTATTTCTGAAGCGCCAGTTAAGAACCCGGTTGAGTTGCATTAAACCTAATCTTCGGGAGTCTGTGGAGGAGAAACAGCAAAAGATGAAAGAACAACATGATGGCGGACAGTGCAAAGTCAGGGAATTTCAGGGAGGTGAACAAGTTCAAGTGAAAACAACTATTCCAGGACAAAAATGGAAAGGGATATCTGGTGTGATTCATAGAAAGTTGGGACCATTAACTTATCTTGTGCGAGTTGGAAAAGGCATTCGCTATTGCCACGTAGATCATTTATTAGCATCGTCTGCTACGATGCTGGAGCCGGAACTTACACCGCTGCCGTTTGATGTAGAGTTACCCTCTTTAAAGGAGCCAGGAATGGATCGGGCCTTAGTGTCTCCAGATGAAACAGGAAAGGGAACTCCTGAGATGGTGGAAACTCAAGAAAAACTTGCGGACTCTGTAAACAAGGATACCAAGGTGCCTGATCAGACTGATGCAGTGCCGGAACGTCGTTATCCGCTCAGGATGAGGAAACCCACTAAAAAATTGGACTTATAGAGCGAAATCGTTGGTGAACTGTGCTGCATGTTGCGGTTCTTATGACAATGCAAAATTAATCATTAATCATTACTTTGTATGTCCAGATAGGATTTATTCATCTTTTGTATTTTTTATTATCTTTTGTGTAAAAGGGGAGGAGTGTAATGTGTTTGAATTGGGATCGGGCTCGGGGTACTAAAAAACATAGAAGAGAAGCTTCGGGAATAAATGTCGCATGTTTATCATGTTTTGACTTTTTGGGCCAAGACTAGTGAATATATTACATCGCTAAAAATTGATTGCGTTTAATTTGTAATAGCTTCTTTAATGTTTATTTTAAAATCGCTAAAATAACATCTCGCTAAAAATAAATAACCAGTTTTTAAGGACAAATCGCTAAATTTGCGTCTCGCTATAATTTCCACTTAAACGGTACTCATCAATATTGGTGCCTACCTTTAATCTAACCACGGTGGAGCATTGAATTCAGGATGCAATGCAGTTGAGGCAGGTGATTCAGAAGGCGGCTCAGACGGAGAATCAAATATAAGTTTGTAAAAAGATTCCCTAGTGTCTGGATATGAATAATAAAAATATTAAATTATATAAATACAATGCAAAAGCTACAGATTCCAGACTACCTCTCAAAACATTTTACCAGATGGTAAACATGACAACTATGAAGGGAGAAATCCTGCAGTTTATTTCAGTTAAAACCTAAGAGATTTCAGTTAATTTGTATAATAAATTTTTCATACATTTATAATGTATGAAAACTGTCATACTACGTTCCTGTATTGAAAAATGTAAGACCTACCTTCGTTGGGATCATTCATAGATGTTCCAAACTCCTTGGACCTAACATAAGTATATTCCTGTCCTGTGTTCCTCCTCCTCACTTGGATTTTAACTCTGAATTTAAACAGAGCATAATAATTCGAACTTCACCAGATTTAAGTTTGAAACGGTAAACAGAAAATAAAATACCTTACTTTAAAATTACATAACAACTTGCTAGCAATTTAAAAATTGGAAACCTGTGATTATTTTTAAAATTGTATTTTCTACATATTTTTCAAATTGTTGTGAGGTCTCATTAAATTTATTCTATAATAAATCATCTTAATTGTGATAACGCTTCCCAAGTTTGTCAGCGGGCAAACTTTCCACAGGGATTTTTTTACGGGTCGTAGGGGGCCTGTATGAGGCCCCTTTCCCAATGGTAAAAAGTGTGTATTTTTCCCAATTTCATTAAAGCAAATTCCTAAAAGAGAATCCAAACAAACAAATCGGTTTAAAAATGTTAAAACTCAGTAATAAGTATGATAAAAATGTTGTTCCAAATAAAAATCTAAAAGGCGTTCTCCAAAAACTGATTGACTGAATGTAAAATTAGTCAAAGAAATACATTGCGAGTAAAAAAAAAAACCCTTCGTACTTGAATTTATATAGAAAAATGTTAAATATGAGATTTTTCCCAATTTTAACCAAATGTCACTATTTTTCCAAATGGAAAGGCCCAGGTCCTTGTTTTCAAGACCTAGAGAAAACCTTGTTCCATCTGTACAGATCTATTGTTTTGAAATATCCAGCTTATTGTTGTTCTATCGCAATATTTTTGTCTCGAATGACACAGAAAAGACCGACCGGGTTACGTATATAGCTGACTGTCTTCAAAAGAGAATATAATCGATAAAAATTAATTTGCATACCTGTATTATTAATTGAACTCCGTCTGAATTTCACATAATATTCACGATATTTTCTTTTAAACTCCATTTTACTTTGTACCCGCCGTCTTAGCTAAATTCTCTTTACACAAGATCAATTCGGACCAAGTTACTTCATGAACATATAGGACGTCATCGGTGTGTGACAATATACAAATATGGACTCGATGTAGGACAATATGCATTTATAATGACCCAGGCTGACAGATATTGACCTCAGATACATGGGTCATTATAAATGCATATTGACCGTGCATTGAGGTCATATTTATTATATTATATAAATAATATTTTCCCAAATTTATTAATTCAATGTTTATCTTCCTAATGTTTTAGTCGCCCGCATGGCGCATTTGTTGGAGCGTCTGCTCTAGAGTCGCGAAGTAAGGAATCAATCCTTACGTCGCGGGTTAGAATCCCACTGCGGGACATGGAGACCGGTCCTTCGGATCAGACCGTATAAACCGAGGTCCCGTGTCGCAGTAGGTGCTGGCACGAAAAAGATCCCTCCCTGCTCAATGGCCCCGAGTGCCGAATAAAGGATAAAATTTGCAGCTCTCCACCGCGGCAAATGGTGGCGTCTCCATATGAGTGAAAAATGCTCGAGAGGGACGTTAAACAATATCAATCAATCCTTATGTTTTACAGAGATATTATTAACTATAAATAAGTTGAATGTAAATGTTTCAGAATTTATTGAATGTTACTCAGAGGTACATTTGTACTTGTTTCGGAAATAAATTTTAACCCACAGCATGATAATAACGCAAGATATCTATCTCTGAATAACACAGAGTACCCCCTCCTCAGATTGAGAATCGCACTTACATTTGCAGAGGAAATTATATGCACAGACAAAATATAAATACCCATTTCTTCTAAATATGATAAGATACAATCATACATGGCACGCTCGTCTTTATTTTCCTTAGTCTTCGTAATCGCGGAAACACCCTCAAAACGCTATAGTCGCCTCCCTTACAATCTTTGTATTTTGATTGTGAAAATGCTTTTAATTAATAACACAGGTGAAGGATATAACAAATTACCATTCGAAATCATCTTTGCTACTCCTACACAGAAAGAGTTCACAGATTTCGTTTCAGTTTTTTAAAATCTACATTGAATACACAAATGTATCTGTAAAGTAGCGGACAAGTAAGACTGTTGGGTTGTAGGTAGGTAGGGAGGTAATGTGTGTTTATGGGACCTATTAGTGACGGTCTGTGAACGAGTGGTGCCAATGGTTGAAGTATTGTGTGAGCGAGTTGTGTCAATGGGAGTAGTAACATTGTGTGAAGGAGTGGTGACAGTGGTTATAGTAACATTGTGTGAGCGAGTGGTGACAGTGGTTATAGTAACATTGTGTGAGCGAGTGGTGTCAGTAGTTATAGTAACATTGTGTGAGCGAGTGGTGACAATGGTTATAGTAACATTGTGTGAGGGAGTGGTGACAGTGGTTATAGTAACATTGTGTGAGGGAGTGGTGACAATGGGAGTAGTAACATTGCGTGAACGAGTGGTGTCAATGGGAGTAGTAACATTGTGTGAGGGAGTGGTGACAGTGGTTATAGTAACATTGTGTGAGCGAGTGGTGGCAGTGGTTATGTAACATTGTGTGAGGGAGTGGTGTCAATGGGAGTAGTAACATTGTGTGAGGGAGTGGTGTTAATGGGAGTAGTATTGTGTGAGGGAGTGGTGTCAATGGGAGTAGTAACATTGTGTGAGGGAGTGGTGACAGTGGTTATAGTAACATTGTGTGAGCGAGTGGTGTCAATGGGAGTAGTAACATTGTGTGAGCGAGTGGTGTCAATGGGAGTAGTAACATTGTGTGAGCGAGTGGTGACAGTGGTTATAGTAACATTGTGTGAGGGAGTGGTGACAGTGGTTGTAGTAACATTGTGTGAACGAGTGTTGTCAATGGGAGTAGTAACATTGTGTGAGGGAGTGGTGTCAATGGGAGTAGTAACATTGTGTGAGGGAGTGGTGTCAATGGGAGTAGTAACATTGTGTGAGGGAGTGGTGACAGTGGTTATAGTAACATTGTGTGAGGGAGTGGTGTCAATGGGAGTAGTAACATTGTGTGAGGGAGTGGTGACAGTGGTTATAGTAACATTGTGAGCGAGTTGTGTCAATGGTTAAAGTAACATTGTGTGAGCAAGTGGTGTCAATGGCAGAAGTAACATTGTCCAGGGTATCACGTTTTTGAGTAGACTCAGTCATGTACTGTATAGTGTACTGGACTAAGCCGTATGTGTTAGTACACGATCTGAGGACACATTATAATTTGCAATTGAAGTTTGTGCATTTTGTTTGTGTCTCTTTGTGAATGCAGAGAAAGGTCCAGACTTGTGAGTGTTGACGGAAAACGAAGTAGTCGCTTTTGTCATGAGGTCGGTTACGTTGTGACGAAGCGAAGTGTTGAAATCTAGAGTCAATTGAAAAATGCAAGTCAACAGTGAACAAAAATAAAAAAGTTAGAAAACACAAAAAAAGAATGTACTTACCCATTTCGTTTTGTGATGGTGTTGTCATTGTGACTGTAGTGAGTTCTGAAAAATGAGAAATTAAGATATCTACAAATCGTAAAACGTGAAAGTATTATCCCAACTGCCTTTCACCTAAAACGGGGAATGTAATAAATTTACTCAATAAGTGAAATATTGAATATAGGTAACATACCAGGACAGACAGGTTCATCTAATAGAAAGTCGCAAGGCATTGTGTCATTTCCTGGGAAAAATCAGATCAAAGATCTATAATTTTGCAGCCTTAGCTAAAATCTTGTGGTTTTGATTGGCTTGAACTGACAGTGGGCGGAGTTTTTCCCACGGCAAGTGTATATGATTACATCAGCTAGGCTCATTCGTAACTACTTGGCCATTTTTCCGGAAGAGAAATAAAGTTATTTATCGTTCACGGAAATGACCGAGTAGTTACGATTACAGTCAGGCTCTATTTTTGAAAGGGGGGGGGGTATTTAAGGAATGCATTATTTTTTACTTGATTTTAGTGACATTTTACGAGAAAGGGAGATTGAGAAATAGAGAATGTACATATACCTGGACATTGAAGACTTTCGTTTGTTTAGTCCAACATGACAATTTCCTTTACATTAAGATCATCAGTAAAATTATTTAAAAGGAAAAAAAGGAAAGAAAATATGAATAATTTAAGTACGTTTGTATTAGATAAGCGAGTGAAATAGAAATGGGTTGAAATGAATGGAAAAATTTGATACTGTCGTCAAATGACATGGTTAAATTTGTTTCACTGATTAAGTTTGACATCATTAATGAGATAATCTGGAAATATCATCGTACCGACCCGTATGACTGTGAAAAATATGTCAGGTCACCGTGATCTCATTAGAAGGTGATGATTTCAAAATTCGTTACACCCTCTTGCTATAGTTATTGTATGAAAAGTTATTTTTAAAATATCTACCCAAACAATGTAAAGAATCACATGGTTATTTTTTTTTCTTATAAATACTGAGGGAAACACCTCAGAACTTCACTCTGGTTCTACTCAAACTGAGGGAAACACCTCAGAACTTCACTCTGGTTCCACTCAAACTGAGGGAAACACCTCAGAACTTCACTCTGGTTCCACTCAAACTGAGGGAAATACCTCAGAACTTCACTCTGGTTCCACTCAAACTGAGGGAAACACCTCAGAACTTCACTCTGGTTCCACTCAAACTGAGGGAAACACCTCAGAACTTCACTCTGGTTCCACTCAAACTGAGGGAAACACTTCAGAAATTCACTCTGGTTCCACTCTAACTGAGGGAAACACCTCAGAACTTCACTCTGGTTCCACTCAAACTGAGGGAAACACCTCAGAACTTCACTCTGGTTCCACTCAAACTGAGGGAAACACCTCAGAACTTCACTCTGGTTCCACTCAAACTGAGGGAAATACCTCAGAACTTCACTCTGGTTCCACTCAAACTGAGGGAAACACCTCAGAACTTCACTCTGGTTCCACTCAAACTGAGGGAAACACCTCAGAACTTCACTCTGGTTCCACTCAAACTGAGGGAAACACTTCAGAAATTCACTCTGGTTCCACTCTAACTGAGGGAAACACCTCAGAACTTCACTCTGGTTCCACTCAAACTGAGGGAAACACTTCAGAAATTCACTCTGGTTCTACTCAAACTGAGGGAAATACCTCAGAACTTCTCTGGTTCCACTCAAACTGACGAAAACACCTCAGAACTTCACTCTGATTCCACTCAAACTGAGGGAAACACCTCAGAACTTCACTCTGGTTCTACTCAAACTGAGGGAAACACCTCAGAACTTCACTCTGGTTCCACTCAAACTGAGGGAAATACCTGAGAACTTCACTCTGGTTCCACTCAAACTGAGGGAAACACCTTAGAACTCCACTCTGGTTCCACTCAAACTGAGGGAAACACTTCAGAACTTCACTCTGGTTCCACTCAAACTGAGGGAAATACCTGAGAACTTCACTCTGGTTCCACTCAAACTGAGGGAAACACCTTAGAACTCCACTCTGGTTCCACTCAAACTGAGGGAAACACCTTAGAACTCCACTCTGGTTCCACTCAAACTGAGGGAAACACCTCAGAACTTCACTCTGGTTCCACTCAAACTGAGGGAAACACCTCAGAACTTCACTCTGGTTCCACTCAAACTGAGGGAAACACTTCAGAACTTCACTCTGGTTCCACTCAAACTGAGGGAAATACCTGAGAACTTCACTCTGGTTCCACTCAAACTGAGGGAAACACCTTAGAACTCCACTCTGGTTCCACTCAAACTGAGGGAAACACCTTAGAACTCCACTCTGGTTCCACTCAAACTGAGGGAAACACCTCAGAACTTCACTCTGGTTCCACTCAAACTGAGGGAAACACTTCAGAACTTCACTCTGGTTCCACTCAAACTGAGGGAAACACTTCAGAACTTCACTCTGGTTCCACTCAAACTGAGGGAAATACCTGAGAACTTCACTCTGGTTCCACTCAAACTGAGGGAAACACTTCAGAAATTCACTCTGGTTCCACTCAAACTGAGGGAAACACTTCAGAACTTCACTCTGGTTCCACTCAAACTGAGGGAAACACCTCAGAACTTCACTCTGGTTCCACTCAAACTGAGGGAAACACTTCAGAACTTCACTCTGGTTCCACTCAAACTGAGGGAAATACCTGAGAACTTCACTCTGGTTCCACTCAAACTGAGGGAAACACCTTAGAACTCCACTCTGGTTCCACTCAAACTGAGGGAAACACCTTAGAACTCCACTCTGGTTCCACTCAAACTGAGGGAAACACCTCAGAACTTCACTCTGGTTCCACTCAAACTGAGGGAAACACCTCAGAACTTCACTCTGGTTCCACTCAAACTGAGGGAAACACCTCAGAACTTCACTCTGGTTCCACTCAAACTGAGGGAAACACTTCAGAAATTCACTCTGGTTCCACTCTAACTGAGGGAAACACCTCAGAACTTCACTCTGGTTCCACTCAAACTGAGGGAAACACTTCAGAAATTCACTCTGGTTCTACTCAAACTGAGGGAAATACCTCAGAACTTCTCTGGTTCCACTCAAACTGACGAAAACACCTCAGAACTTCACTCTGATTCCACTCAAACTGAGGGAAACACCTCAGAACTTCACTCTGGTTCCACTCAAACTGAGGGAAATACCTGAGAACTTCACTCTGGTTCCACTCAAACTGAGGGAAACACCTTAGAACTCCACTCTGGTTCCACTCAAACTGAGGGAAACACTTCAGAACTTCACTCTGGTTCCACTCAAACTGAGGGAAATACCTGAGAACTTCACTCTGGTTCCACTCAAACTGAGGGAAACACCTTAGAACTCCACTCTGGTTCCACTCAAACTGAGGGAAACACCTTAGAACTCCACTCTGGTTCCACTCAAACTGAGGGAAACACCTCAGAACTTCACTCTGGTTCCACTCAAACTGAGGGAAACACCTCAGAACTTCACTCTGGTTCCACTCAAACTGAGGGAAACACTTCAGAACTTCACTCTGGTTCCACTCAAACTGAGGGAAATACCTGAGAACTTCACTCTGGTTCCACTCAAACTGAGGGAAACACCTTAGAACTCCACTCTGGTTCCACTCAAACTGAGGGAAACACCTTAGAACTCCACTCTGGTTCCACTCAAACTGAGGGAAACACCTCAGAACTTCACTCTGGTTCCACTCAAACTGAGGGAAACACTTCAGAACTTCACTCTGGTTCCACTCAAACTGAGGGAAACACTTCAGAACTTCACTCTGGTTCCACTCAAACTGAGGGAAATACCTGAGAACTTCACTCTGGTTCCACTCAAACTGAGGGAAACACTTCAGAAATTCACTCTGGTTCCACTCAAACTGAGGGAAACACTTCAGAACTTCACTCTGGTTCCACTCAAACTGAGGGAAACACCTCAGAACTTCACTCTGGTTCCACTCAAACTGAGGGAAACACTTCAGAACTTCACTCTGGTTCCACTCAAACTGAGGGAAATACCTGAGAACTTCACTCTGGTTCCACTCAAACTGAGGGAAACACCTTAGAACTCCACTCTGGTTCCACTCAAACTGAGGGAAACACCTTAGAACTCCACTCTGGTTCCACTCAAACTGAGGGAAACACCTCAGAACTTCACTCTGGTTCCACTCAAACTGAGGGAAACACCTCAGAACTTCACTCTGGTTCCACTCAAACTGAGGGAAAAACCTGAGAACTTCACTCTGGTTCCACTCAAACAGAGGGAAACACCTGAGAACTTCACTCTGGTTCCACTCAAACTGAGGGAAACACCTTAGAACTCCACTCTGGTTCCACTCAAACTGAGGGAAATACCTCAGAACTTCACTCTGGTTCCACTCAAACTGAGGGAAACACCTCAGAACTTCACTCTGGTTCCACTTAAACTGAGGGAAATACCTCAGAACTTCACTCTGGTTCCACTCAAACTGAGGGAAACACCTTAGAACTCCACTCTGGTTCCACTCAAACTGAGGGAAACACCTTAGAACTCCACTCTGGTTCCACTCAAACTGAGGGAAACACCTTAGAACTTCACTCTGGTTCTACTCAAACTGAGGGAAATACCTCAGAACTTCACTCTGGTTCCACTCAAACTGAGGGAAACACCTCAGAACTTCACTCTGGTTCCACTCAAACTGAGGGAAACACCTCAGAACTTCACTTTGGTTCCACTCAAACTGAGGGAAACACCTCAGAACTCCACTCTGGTTCCACTCAAACTGAGGGAAACACCTCAGAACTTCACTCTGGTTCCACTCAAACTGAGGGAAATACCTGAGAACTTCACTCTGGTTCCACTCAAACTGAGGGAAACACCTTAGAACTCCACTCTGGTTCCACTCAAACTGAGGGAAACACCTTAGAACTTCACTCTGGTTCCACTCAAACAGAGGGAAACACCTCAAAACTTCACTCTGGTTCCACTCAAACAGAGGGAAACACCTCAAAACTTCACTCTGGTTCTACTCAAACTGAGGGAAACACCTCAAAACTTCACTCTGGTTCCACTCAAACTGAGGGAAATACCTCAGAACTTCACTCTGGTTCCACTCAAACTGAGGGAAACACCTCAGAACTTCACTCTGGTTCCACTCAAACTGAGGGAAATACCTCAGAACTTCACTCTGGTTCCACTCAAACTGAGGGAAACACCTCAGAACTTCACTCTGGTTCCACTCAAACTGAGGGAAACACCTCAGAACTTCACTCTGGTTCCACTCAAACTGAGGGAAACACCTCAGAACTTCACTCTGGCCCCGCCGTCACCAACATCCCTCAACTCAACACTCAGCCTCAACTCTGAGGTTTTCCCTCAAATATCTCACCTCACCCTCAAGTCACCGTCACCAAAAAAAATTGAGGGATTATCCTGAGGAAATCCTCAAATATTTAGGGATAGCTTCATAGCAACCTTAAAAATTTCCTCAAGCAAATTTAACATGGCTGGCAGACGTCGTAGACGACGTAGGTTTCGGAGATATCGCAATCGACCGTCAAAAAGGGTGATACGAGATCGACTGAACCCCTTAGAAGCCTACACAGACGATGAACTTTTTGACCGCTATCGATTTAGACAGGCTTCAGTCGTGTATTTACTGGGCTTGATAGGTGGGACTTTGATAGATAGTACAAAAAACAATGCCTTACCTCCGCTCTTACAGCTCTTCGTGTGTCTGAGGTTCTTTGCGACAGGCGCCTATCATAAACTGATAGGTGATAGCATGAATGTGTCTGAGTCAACTGTCGGTAGATGCTGTAGATCAGTCACTAATGCCATCCTTACTGTAAGACAACAATTCATTGTTTTCCCTAGAGACGAACAAGCACGGAAAACGAAGCAAGAGTTCATCAAAATTGCCGGTATGTTGTTCGTCGTTTTGTTTTCTTTTCTACTTTCTCTTTCAAAACTTACATGTAGGAAGGATAACTCGTTCTTTTCGATTTCGTGCATGTACAGGGTGTTTCACAATATATGTCACACATCTAAAGAACACAAGCTACATATATTATATATCATTTTAATCAGCATTTATTCAATTTTTGTATGAAGACACAGTTATAACTCAAATGCAAGATTTGTAAATTATAAATGCCAAATGGACCCGATTCAGGCAATAATTAATATTTTTATTAAAATATTATAAGAATGTGTTTTTATGAGCAATTTATTTTTCTTTAATTTTACATTCTCATAAAATGCAGTGATTGTCGATTAGCGACGATATTTGTTTTGAAGCAAGGACTGGTAGAGCGGAAACGCTGATTGAAAATAGTATTCGCCGACTCAAATTCGTTTTAATCTCAACTAACCTTGAAAATTCAATGTCCACCATGAGTATGCTACAAGTGCATCCTATCCACCAAAATAGGGACTTCGATATGTGTATAATTTGACAAATATTCGAAGAAAATAACATTGCTTATGCATGCGACCATTCAATTGTTAAAGAGATCTCGAGTTATGCATGAGATGAAGGATAAAATGTTACGATAGTATTATGCAATCTCCATAATTCACATCTTATACTATTTTATTTTTGGAAATTATAAAATTTTAAATATTGGCTATAATATAAAGACGTTGCAGTGGCAGATCTAGCAATTTAAAAAAAGAGAGAGGGGGGGGGGGGGGGTCCAGGTGTCCAACACTCATGCATAAAAGCACTTCAAACCTGGCAACACCGAGTTTTCAACGGTTATATGGGGGACTTTGACAAGCCAGAAACAAACAAACAAACAAACAATTAAAACAAAAACACAAACAAGCAAGCATTAGATGTACATGTAGCTATAATTCGCTGGGATCTTCCATTGGTTTCAAAGTGAAACATTGTGTGGTAGTCCACCCAGGGCTGGCATTGCATGTCATTTGACGGTACTCGGAGGAAAGCATATTAAACAATGGAACTCTATTTGACCCCCTCCCCCCCCCCTGCACGATTTAAAAGATTTAATAAATCATTTTTTGTGTATGGCGATGGGCCTCTACCCCGACCTCAAACTGCCCCCCTCCCATAGCCTTTACAAGATCCCACCTCTGCTAATGACTATGTTTTTTTAAAGGGATGTCATATCTATATATATATGTACTATTTTTACCACACATTGTAAGTTAGACAATAAATAAAAACTTAAACACTATACATTGTAAAAAAAAATTACACAGGATTCCCGAACACACTGGGATGCGTTGATGGAACATTCATTAGAATTATGGCTCCAACTGAAAATGAACCGGATTTTGTGAATAGAAAGGGATTCCATTCTTTGAATGTACAGGTCAGTATTTTATTTCTTCTTTATTTTATTTGTTGTTTTATCTCATATCAAATGCTTCCAATGTTGAAGTTATAGACTATTTAATCAAAACATCAGTGATGTGAGCGTCGTATTTGAAAGGGGCAGCCAATGAAAAAATCTATTCCCCTGAAAAAAGGACTTGATAAGCAGAATTTTATATTAAAAGTCCTAATTACTAAATCATATTTAGCTGACTATACTGCAACAAAAAGTTGCCTCCCACACCCCTTCTGATGCTACGAGACTACATATCAATATTATTTTTATTTAAATTCTTTAACTCTGCAGCATATGCAATTTATCAGCCATCTTAAAAAGTTAGGGTTTCATTTTGATTTCAAATAGATGGTTTGTGATGCCAACTTCCAATTCACGAGTGTGTGTGCCAGCTGGCCCGGTAGTGTCCATGATAGCAGGATTTGGCGGGAATCCTTCCTTTGTCGACAATTCGAAAGAGGTAAACAACTTTATTTATATTTTACTAAAAAATATTGATACATTTGTTTATCGATGGAGAAGGGAAACAAATTTGAAATGTTGAAGGTTATTATTCAATAAATTCAATTAAGAAACTCTTGTACGTTTAGGTGAACACAATGGCATTTTGTTGGGCGATTCTGGATACCCCTGTCGACGCTATTTAATGACACCATACCTCAACCCGCAGACAAACGCTCACCAACGATTTAATGCATCTCTGTGTCGAACCAGAGTTCTTATTGAGCAAAGTTTTGGAATTCTGAAACGGAGGTTTTCCTGTCTTCAAGGAACTCTGAGGTAAAGAAGCTTTGCATTATTTAGATGAAATACATGCAACTTCTAAAAAACATATTTTGCTATATTCAGTAAATAATACCCTCTATAATTTTTTAACAGATAAACCGTCTAAATATTTCATATTGGCTCCAACTAAAATAATTGACAGCCATCTCTTGGGGACTACCACAATCAAAATACATCTAATTAAGTAAAAATTCAAATCTAATTTGATTTTTTTTTACAGAACGGCCCCTGAACAGGCAGTAGCATACGTTGTCGCTTGCGTCATCCTTCATAATCTTGGGATTCGAACTGGTGATGTGATGGATAGATTGGACCAGCAAGAGGATGCATTTGATCCGACGGCCCACCAAGTTGTATGCAATTCTCCAGAGGGAAGTCACTTGCGAGACTATATCGCACAGACGTATTTCGGGTAGAGCTACATCTAGGTATGCACATATTCATAAACACTTGCATATTTTTGAATTCATAATACCGAAGACCACACAACTTACGTGTATGTATACATTCAACCAATGACAAATGATTACCGGGTATTAATATAACAATCATTGTGCTGATAAATTTTTTTTGTCTATTTCAGGTCATTTTCAAGTGGTTGACGGTTTATAGTGACATATGTTTCAGAATTTCATTTGATATACTGAAGTACATGCGTTTATTTATTGTTTAAAAAATAAATATTTCACATTTACTGATCCCAATTCAAGAGTTTGTGATCTATTCAGAGCCTCTCAAATGTAGTTGGTCATTGACAAACAGGGTTTATGATGAATTCTGGAAATTCAGAACTTAATTTACACAATAAATATGATTTTTTAATCTCAAGCATTTCAATCTCCGTTTGCAATTTTTTCTCCTCTAAGGCTAATTTCTTTTGTTCTTGGACAAGCTTGTTTATTTGTTGTGTCAGCTTCTCATTTTCAAGTTTACTATTTTTTATCTCTAGATCATCCAAGATCTCTCGTGGTACCATCTTCCTCTTCTTTTCCTTAGGCCGTACATCTTTCACAAAAAATATAAATGCAAATATATACACTGTACTTGCGTATGTACCATTTTATCAAAGATTAATGTTAATATATTTTCAAAATGATAGGTATCTTACCTGAATTTGTATTAAATGATAAACTTAAACCGGAGCTCTTCGAGGATGTTGAAGCATCACCGGTTCCTTCAACAACTGCTGCTAACTCTTGTGTTTGGATGGATGTTATTGGTTCTAAAATTACAAGGCACATGTATATTAAATGTTTAAAGTTTTCCGCGGCCCCAAAATATGACATCTTTTTTAATCTTAACTCTACTTGAGATGGACAATTTTACTCTGGCAAAGTTCTACCTCTTAAATAAGTGACATTATTTAAATTACCATCGGTATCTATGCTTCCCACCAGGCCAACAATGTTGGGTCGCGTATCCATTGCCTGATACAACGCCTCCTCTGCCTGAGTGAGGGGCGCTGATGGTGGACCACCCCCAGTCTTGGGCCTGCGTATGTCATCGATTTTCTCTTTTGCTACAATTGATGGCGATTTTCATTTCTCATTGATAAATATTTCTAAAAAATACTTTGCTCAACTCTATAAAAAAGTAATAATATTTTACCTCTCTGTTTGATGTTATCATACTTTTTGTAGATGGAGTCAGATGTTCTGTCGTTTTTAAATTGTCTGTATAAATGAAATTTAAAACAAAGCATTGATAAATTCTAATTTGTGTTTGACAAATTTGACATCTCATTTTAATAGTGTAACTTTTTTTTTTAAATATTATAGTGGATAATCACATAGAATATACTTAAACATAATTATATTTTGTTTATTTAAATAGTTATATTTTTGTTTTGTTTATTAAAAAAAATATTTTGTAGTCATTTATATTCGTTTTCTTGTACATCCTAATTTGAAAAAAAATCTGTAGGATGGTCAAATTATTTCCCCCCATTTGGGACTTGATATTTGATTTTAAAATGAATTTCTTTAATCCCCAATATTATTAGTGTCTGAAGCCGCGGCCTGAAGTGGTTTGTACCTATATTTGAGCCCCCACCCGCTTTCATCGTTTATGACCAGAAATGGTATATAATACACGACATAACGGTGTAACCAACATAATAATTATGTGATGCTGTTTAAGAAGAGATTTTATTAAATTAACGGAGGAATTTTGATTAACCGTGGGCATTTACGGTTACGGCAGAAAACATTGTCAGTATTAATTTAGGACTGGAATATACTGGGATAAAATTTGTGTTTACACCTACAAAGGGAGATCACAGCGAGAATCGTCTGGTCATGGTCAAAACAAAAAGTAAGTGAATTCAGATTGATATAACAGTACTTACAAATTCAGTGTGTCAGTGATGGACTTCCAAGTTTCTTCTTTTACCTTTCCATGTTTCCCTTTAACCCCCGCCCCTTTCATCTTTCCAAATAGTTGTTGTTCGAATTTTAAAACCTCTTCAATTAAAGTTATCTCCTCCTCGCTGGTCCAATTAGCCCCCCGTTTCCTTTTACCCCCTGATATCAACCCAATTATGTCTTTCTCAGCCATTTTCATACAAAATAACACACAGACGACAGATATTTATTGCGTAAAATCATTACGTAAAAATTCCGCGAAAGTGCGCGATGTTATTGATGTAACACCTCAACTGAGTTGAGGGAAAAAAAATCACCTCTATTGAGGTGATACTCAGTCTGTTTGGTGACGGTGAATTGAGGAAATCCTCAGTTAGGGAAACCTCAAGGGGTTTGAGTTGAGTATTGAGGGTGAGGTTGAGGAATTTTGGTGACGGCGGGGCCTGGTTCCACTCAAACTGAGGGAAACACCTCAGAACTCCACTCTGGTTCCACTCAAACTGAGGGAAACACCTCAGAACTTCACTCTGGTTCCACTCAAACTGAGGGAAACACTTCAGAAATTCACTCTGGTTCCACTCAAACTGAGGGAAACACTTCAGAACTTCACTCTGGTTCCACTCAAACTGAGGGAAACACCTCAGAACTTCACTCTGGTTCCACTCAAACTGAGGGAAATACCTCAGAACTTCTCTGGTTCCACTCAAACTGAGGAAAACACCTTAGAACTCCACTCTGGTTCCACTCAAACTGAGGGAAACACCTTAGAACTTCACTCTGGTTCCACTCAAACTGAGGGAAACTCCTCAAATCTTCACTCTGGTTCCACTCAAACTGAGGGAAACACCTCAATACTTCACTCTGGTTCCACTCAAACTGAGGGAAATACCTCAGAACTTCACTCTGGTTCCACTCAAACTGAGGGAAACACCGCAGAACTTCACTCTGGTTCCACTCAAATTGAGGGAAACACCGCAGAACTTCACTCTGGTTCTACTCAAACTGAGGGAAACACCTCAAAACTTCAGTCTGGTTCCACTCAAACTGAGGGAAACACCTCAGAACTTCACTCTGGTTCCACTCAAACTGAGGGAAACACTTCAGAACTTCACTCTGGTTACACTCATAACAGGATGGCATCATACAAGTAAGTGTATTTTCATTAAAACTTGCGCGATTTTTTTTTTTTTAATGAAAACTTTTATTATTTTCTTTTTTTTTAAGTTGCACTTGTGAAAAAAGAGATTTTGAAACTCCTGAATTATATCATGGAGGATATTAAAACTATGGAGTGTCCGTGAGGTATTATTTTTTTTCTTTCTTTTTTTTTTTTTTTTTTTTTTTTTTTTTTGGTTTTGTTACCGTTTTTCTGCTTATTTTTTATTTTAGTTTTAAATTAAATCAGTATGAATCATTTACTTGAGATGTGAATATTTTTTTTAGAATAGCCTTACGTTTACATAAGAGGAAAACGTTTTTCAGGTATTGAGATTATATAATTACGTGTGAAGAAATTTAGTGGTTTTTTTTGTACTCACACTTTATTAATTTTTATAATTTATTAATTTTTTTTACATTTAGTCTGTAAATTTTATTTCAGTACGCCTGATGTTTCGTGAGTGTATTAATTTAATCCTTACTTTAATAATTTCCTCATTTTTATTTATTTTTTACGTACTTAACGAGAAAAAAAAAGGGGAAACAAAAATTAATTTTGTTTTAAATATTTTTTATTAGTCCGGTGGGGGAAAAGTCCAACAGAAATGTGTTAGTATTTTACAAGAGTATTTCTAATCCCTTTTTTTTATTTTGGAAAAAAATAAAATTACGCAGAAAAAAGGATCACAAAAGTATTATTAAAATATAGTCAGATAAATAAATAGTTAGATAATACAAATAGATATCTTTTTTTTTCCTTTTAGACCGCCAAACGCACCACGACGTCCGCCGTTAGTATTTTATACTTTTCTTAAAAAAATTATTGGGATTCCTTTAAGCTAATACATAATTTTCTTAAACGTTTATTTCTTTATTAAATATATATACATATGGATTTACTTTATCTTTCATTTACTGATTATTGTAATGATTTATTTTCAGCCGTCTTGTGATGGAGATCATAAGCGTAGAAGAGTAGGTTTTCTTTTTTTAACGTCAAGTGTAATAATCTTATAGAAATTATATGTAGTCTGACGGTATTGAGAAAATGTTATTATTATTTTATAGTTCGGATAGTTTGGTGCAACTACTGAACGATAGCACCTTTGATGAGGAACAGTAAGCAAATCTCTCTCTCTCTCTCTCTCAGCTACTGACTTAACTACTCAAATACAGTAAACATTACTTTAAAAAACATTTCAGAAACGAGTCAATGACGGTAGAAGTTATGGAAAAAAATGAGGAGAAAAATGAATGTGAGTCTCTCTCTCTCTCTCACCCACACACTCCGTCACACATATACATATACATCCTCTCTCTCTCTCTCTCACACACACACTCTCTCACACATACACACACAAACACACATACTTATATTCAATTGTGTACTATATGTCTTTTTTTTTGTAGAAAGAAGAAAAGAATCGCGTATACATTGTAATATCGCGAAAAGAATAAAAATCTAGAACTCAAAATGATAATATTTTGTTTGTGTTATTATAAAAACTATATGTGAAGTTGGAAAAAGGCTTCATGAAAGAATGGTTGTAAAATGAATGAGGAGACTGATGAAATGAATGAGGAGACTGATGAAATGAATGAGGAGACTGATGAAATGAATGAGGAGACTGATGAAATGAATCTACGTTTATATTATGACAAAGAAAAATGAAATGAAACAAGAAATAACAAAATAAAGTGTTGTTACTTGATGTGATCAAGTAATATGGGAAATCTTTTGCATATAGTGGAATGATTCTGATTTACACTAGAGTAAATAAAATAAATATGTTAAAATCTGTCTTATTGTCCCCCGCTTTCGCGAAAGCGAGGGACATTAAATCTCATTCGTCTGTCCGTCCGTCTGTCTGTCTGTCAGTCTGTCCGTCCGTCACAAAAACTTTAACCTTGCCCATAACTTTTGATTTAGTGGAGCTTTGACTATCATATTTCACATGTGTATTCTTTGTGACAAGACCTTTCTTTGGGTACCACTAAATTTGACTTTTTGACCTTGACGTTTGACCCACTTTTACACAAAAATTCCAAACATTTACTTTGGTCATAACTTTTGAATGGTAGGAACTAGGACTTTTATATTTCATATATGTATTGTTTGTAGCAAGACCTTTTATTGGAAACCAACAACTTTGACCTTTTGACCTTGACCTTGGAGATTTATGTACTTATGAAAAAAACTTTAACTTTAACCAAAACGTTTGAATGGTTAGGGCTAGGGCTTTCATACTTCACATACGTAATCATTGTAAGAAGAACTTTCATTAAATACCAAGAACTTTGATCATTTGACCTTGACCTTGGAGTTTGATCTACTTTTAAAAACAATAACCTTGGTTACAACTTTTGAACGGTGGATACTAGGACTTTCACATTTTACATATGTATTCTTTGTGGCAAGACCTTTCATTGGATATCATCAATTTTGACCTTGACCTTGGAGATTTGTGTACTTACGAAAAAATTTTAAACTTGATCAAAATTTTTGAATGGTAGGGGCTAGGGCTTTCATACTTCACAAATGCAATCCTTGTGAGAAGACCTTTCATTAAATACCAAGAACTATGATCCTTTGACCTTGACCTTGGAGTTTGACCTACTTTTCAAAAACTTTGACCTTAGCCACAACTTTGGAACAGTAGATACTGGGACTTTCGTATTTCACATATGCATTCTTTTTGGCAAGACCTTTCATTTGATACCAACAACCTTGAGCTTTTGACCTTGACCTTGGACATTTTTGTACTAATAAAAAACTTAAATCTTGACTATAACTTTTGAATGGTAAGGACTAGGACTTTCATACTTCAAATATGTAATCCTTATGAGAAAACTTATGGATACCAAGAACTTTAACCCATTAACATTGAGTTCAATGATGATTTCTAAATAAATGACAAATGATAGGGTGTTCATATTACACTCAATACATCATAAAAAAATGACATTTCACCCACAATGACACCGAAAGCGGGGGACCACAATTCCTTGAATTTGCTTGTATACATTAATTTTATAATTTTAATTTCACTTTAAAAAAAGAATAATTTTTACTGATATTTGACAGGTTATAACAAATTTATTTTCTAAAAAAAACACTAAGAAAGTGTACGAAGGATCCTATAACCATTGAATAAAAAATAGACCTCAATGAAAAATTGATATTCTTATTTTATTTTCATTCTTTTTATTTTTTTGAATATGTCTATTATATTAAACAAAGGATTATCAGATTAAATTTAGAAAGAAAAGAAATTAAAATTGTATTCTTTAATTCAAATGTCGACTGTTATTTATTCTATTGATTTCGTGAGTCTATTATACTCTGTATATGTATTTTAAAAAAAAAAAAAGACTATTTCGAAATCTCTCTTGGTAACAGACTGTTCTTTACGGATGATAGCTGACAACCAATAGAATTTGTCAGTAAAAAATAACATCACTGAAAATCGTATAAAATATCTACATATTTATTTCTTGAGTAGGGGCCATAAAATTCATAATTTTAGAAGAGGCATTTAGTTTTCCTATTACCTAGGAGCAGAGATGAAGATTTTCAAAGAATTCATGTATTTTAACAATATAATCAATAGAGCCCCCCCCCCTCCCCCCCAAATACCTGAACCCTTGACCCTGGGGCCACAAAATTCACAATTTTGGTAAAAGCACTCTTACTAATCATAACTATGCACTTATTTTGTTTATTTAATACCTAGGAGCAGAGATGAAGATTATCAAAGAATTCATGTATTTTCACTATATAATCAATAGAGCCCCCCCCCCACTTGAACTCTTGACCCTGGGGCCACAAAATTCACAATTTTGGTAAAAGCACTCTTGCCCATCATAACTTATGCACTTAGTTTGTTTATTTAATACCTAGGAGCAGAGATGAATATTATCAAAGAATTCATGTATTTTCACTATATAATCAATAGAGACCCCCCCCCAATTGGTTGGAAGATTGATTGATTTTATATTGTTTAACGTCCCTCTCGAGAATTTTTCACTCATATGGAGACGTCACCGTATGCCGATGAAGGGCTTCAAATTTTGACATTTACTCGGCAGTCAGGGCCATCGAGCAGTGAGGGATCTTTATCGTGCCAGCGCCTGCAGCTGACACGGGGCCTCGGTTTTTAAGGTCTCATCCGAAGGACCCGCAACTTTCACTTCAAAGTGCCGAGCGCATGGCGAAGGAACAGTTGCTACCCATTTTAACGACTAGGTCGGTGGGGGCGGAGATGGGAACTCACGACCT